ATAATATGTATATATATGACAATTTTTTAAGTAAAATCTAAGCATCAAGATGTAGTCTAGATGAACAATAAAATACAAGTTAGCAACCTCTTGGGATGAGAAGGTAAAGAGGATACGTTCATGGGGAAGGGACTGGTGGTATACGATGTGTCTCAAAAGATAGATAAGATGTCAATGTTCTGAGTGAAGTGGAAGAGTAGGGAAAAAACAAAGGGATTAAAGACTGCCATGTCATTTTCTAGCAGAAGTAGGTAATATTGTTGCAGTAGACTCGTGAGAAGCATTTGGTGATATAATTTTGAAAAGGAGCATGAGAAGGAGATGCTAAAGGGATGTTAAAAACAAACCAGGAATTTATATTTTACTCATCAGGCAACTGGAAGACTTCTTGGGTGTTTGAGGAGAATGAAGTAAATAAGGTTGCTTTTTTTTTTAAGTTAATCTTGTGGTTGTGCCAAATAAATTGACGAAGAGAAATATCATAAGTCGTAAATCTAGTTAAGAGGTACTTGGGATAGTAAGTAATGGAAAGAGAATAAATAAAAGAGACAGATAATATTTTTTTTTCAAAAAAGAATCACTATTTCCTAATGATCGACTACATATGAGAAAGGAAAAGGAAAAATAAAATAATTGACTCCATAACTATTGAAACGTGGTGACAATAACAAACTGGGAGCTAATCTGTGGGACAGAAAGAGAATAACAAACTAATGAGTTTAAAGGGACAAACAATAACACTTGTCATTTGAGGGGTCTGGAGTCAGTCCAATAGAGGTCACAACTGAAGCTGTAAGAGTAAATGACCTCCCCAGAAGAGAAAGCACAGAGCTAGCAAAAGCAGAGGCCTAAGAACTGAGCCTGCTACATGAAACAGATTAAAGAAGAAAATAAAGCTGTGGGAAGATATAAGGAGAATCTGTATAATGTTATGATAATTAAGGAAGATGAGAATTTCAAAAAGAAAGGATGATTATCGCTAAGTCAGCCACCCATTTGTGACACGCATCATGGGTGTGACACACATTTTGGTCCCATATGTGTTCTGCACTACATGTACAGAGAAAAGGCAAGGTTATTCAACAGGTCATGTGAAAATGACAGCAACTGACCAGGTCCTGTTCCTAAACAGAACAAAAATGTGTTGGCTCCAGGTATCTACCTTCCCTGAGCCCTTTTGTTCAATGTAACTTTTAACCACATCTTTAATTAGAAAGTCTGATGTAGCAGAGAGAGAGGCTATCAGGTCAATTTATATGTCAGGATTCAGATCTGGTGGTCCTTTCACACCTCTTGTAATCTATCCCAAGTATGTTAACCTATCCCCACCTCTTTCCCCTTTCTTCTTGCTGTGTGTTTTCCTTTGGTTCAGTAAATCATTTGGTTCAAGCACCTTAAGAAAAAGAATGATTAAAGGATAGCTGAGACTTCAAGGAGAATAAGAACTGAAAGAAACCATTGTAGTTGCTGTTTTGGAGACGGCTGATGCACTTGTAAAAAAGCCCTTTCCAAAAAGAGGCAGCTAGGAGAAGAAATTTAAGCAGGCAAAATATAGAGACACAAATAAGTAGCTGCAATGTATGGCTTATAATAAAGTCAATTTTAGTCTAATTTAAAAGCATAGTTTTTAAGAACTTTATTTTCATACTGCTATATTCTGTGCTAGTTAGCTCATACTTTGAATATTACATTCAGTTCTGTTACGGGATATGGATAAACTAGAGTGCCTTCAGAAGAGAAAGACTATGATGGTAAGGGGACTCAATTTCAAGTGAGCAGAAAATTCCGCAGTTTCACCTGGGGGTGGTGGGAGGGACACAAAGGAGACAATGAGAATTATTTTCAAATATATGAAGGTTCATCATGGATTAGAATATTTTGTATAGCCCCAAGGAAATAAGACCAGTGAATAGAGGTTCAAAGTAACAGATGTTTATATCAGCTATAAAAGGAAGTGGATGCCTTAAAAAGTTTGAGCAAGAGTTGAAGCGTGCATGATCATTCAGTGGGAATGCTGCAGAGGAGATTCTAAGGAACCAGCTGAGTAGCTGGAATAGATTTTTTTTATGGCTTCTTCCAAATATGAGTCTGTAATTCTAAATGTAAAATCCTTCTGGATTAACTGGATGTCTTCCAAGGAACCTTTTCAAACTAATCTAATATGCTAGGATTCTTTAAAGAGGTTTGACTGAAAAGAGAGAGACAGAGAAACTATACTTTAGTCCTTGCCCGAAGTATAAAATGTTTCACAAATGATTGATGTGATTAACCACAAGCTGAAGACAGCAGCTCCATAGCTTCTAGTACAATTTAAAGCACTGCGTGGATCCCTATCGTGTGCTCAGAGCCCTGCAACTGCTGTAGAAACCTAAATTACTTTTAGAAATCACAGAATTCTAAGATCTTTGATAAACCACATGGATTTATTAGCAAGCCTGAATTGAAAACAGAAGGAGAGAAGGTGGAAGGACAAATATGGAACATGAAATTTTTATATTGTAAGTTAAATATATGTCTCTGGAATATACACATTTAGAGATTTTTACCAGTTTTAGTTGACATCACTTGCATATATTATGCTTATTATCAGGGAAAAATATGACCAGAAGGCTTTTCATATAGTTTAAAATATTTAGGTTTTCATGATCCTTATGTCATTTTTCTATAGTTCTCTCTCATCCATCTGGCAGCTAGCTGGTAGGACTTAGAAGGCTCTGACTAATGCATCTTCTCTAGGACTTCTGCTAAGAAACACGGACCCTGCCAGGGAAACTACTGGAAAAACAGTAGACAGACTTTAGCAATCCATTGAACTGGCTCCATATCTAAGAGTATATCTCTCCAAACCAAGGAATTCAGAAAGGATGGATCCATAAAAACTTCCCTGTATCTTCTCCATAACTTCTAACTTGCAGTCAAAATATCTTCATCTCCACTAGGTTTCTTTGAAGCAAGTAAGTCATATAATAAATAGGAAACTCTAACTATGAAAACTTTGTAAACTATTCTCTAAAGGCCACCAAAAAGCAGGCCAGTTAAAAACAATTGTTAATCCTCCCTTAAGTATACAGGAATGGAAATCTTAAAGGACCTCAGAAAAACGAAGGGGAAAAGGATGAGCTATCAAAATGCCACCATGCTTAGCAAAATGATGCAAATATTAGTAAAATGAACATATGTACTCTCAAGACAGTTTAGATATAAAGGTAGAAATGTAGGGCTTAACAGAAAATCAGTAGTGGTAAATTTTATTTTACAAATAAGCTAACACAAATGTCAAGTACCCAGTTCACAAGAACAAGCAGAAACATACATCCAAACTTCAAGCTGGCTGCTAACAGTAGATCTTAAAAGTTCTCATCAAAGGAAATAAGAAAATTTGAAACTATGTGAGGTGATAGCAATCAATTCATTATGTGTGTGTATATATATATATACACACACACATACACACACATATATAGTAAATCTTAACATACACAATGTTATACATCAATTATATCTCAGTAAAACTGGGAGTGAAATCAAGTATCACACCTTAAATATATATAATTTTTATCTGTCAATTATACCTCAGTAAAGATGGGAAGAAAAAAATAAGTGGAAGGCTTACCACTAGACATTTTATGTTTAGGAGGAAAGCATAAGTAAAGAAAAGCAGGAAAGTGACTTTTGAAATAACAAAGCTGAATAAGAAATGCAAAGATACTTGGAAATAAATGATTTATGTAAAATTAGTGTGATTCTTATCTCAATTAAAGATTTCCTGGGTTGGAACTGCATTAAAAATATAATTTCCCATTATTTCCAAATATCTCTCACCCCAGATAATAACTGACATATCTAGGAAGTAAATATAGGGAGCTAGTGAAATGGGAAAAGTATAGAATTTTAAAACAGGATTGAAGAGATAAAAGGATAAACTGAAAAATTGATCTGAATATTTTGTTTTATATTTGATTAAATTCTGTTACTCTCCCCTTTTAAAGCAATTAAGAGCAGGAAAAACAACCACTGTCCTCCTCTACCTGGGAGGTTCCAATTAGATTTTAAAGAAATAGAAGCATATTTTTCTAGTGTTTAAGGAATAAAGATACCCTTATCCATCATCATCCAGAAGCCTGAGCATCTGCCATGACTGAGAAATCAAACCACACTCCAGATTATACACAT